TTCTTGTTCATTATTTTTGTGAGAAATGGTGAACGAAGAGAATGAACCTTGAATTAAAAACAATAAAAAATTTGTATTATCATAAGAAATTCGGCTATTTTAGCAAGGCTGCAGACACATTGCAATTTCCCAGGCAACCTTCATAAATGATTTGATTATAGTGGTGATAATTTAAGTAAATCCAACCTCATCCTTTTCACGCAAATTGATAAACTTGTAAAAGGCATTAGATTACCACTATTCACATTATTCGGACTATTGTCCTCATCATTGTTGCCAGATTTATAACAACGTTTCGGCCCTTCAATACCTGTGTATATTTCTGAGATGAGGTATTATGTACACTATTTACATTATTCGGACTATTGTCTTCATCTTTGTCGCCATATTTATTACAACGTTTCGGCCGTTGTACGTTCCGGCCTTCTTCAGGTGGTTGGAATATCGAACTGAAGCCTTTATTTCGCTCACTGGGGTAGACTGTTCTAGTTGCACGTGCCATGTCTAATGGATGTCAGTTATCAGTAATCTCCTGCTTAATTTCCTCTCCAAGTTCTCCACCGCCTTAACCAGGTATTGAACTGACACGCTTTGCGTCCTGTCACTTGATCTAACTAACGCCTTTATCCCCTGTGCCATGTGTCCTTGAGGGGTTAGTTAGATCCAGTGCCAGGGCCCAAAAGTGTGAGTTCAATCAGTTTGTCTGTATGTATATACAGCGGACTCCATCCGTTATTCGACGTATAAGGGTCAAGCATATTTATTATAAAAAGGATTATCCGACAATTATTTTAATATATATTCTATTTATACGTTATTTTATAGATATGACTTATCTAAGAAAATACTTCTTTTTATCTTTGTTGATATTTTCCTTTTACAGATATATTCTCTCTTAAATTTTACAAGCTGCATATATATGTATATGTGTGTGTATACATATATATATATATATATATATATATATAGTCGACTCTCCCGTCGAGATTCGACGTATGAGGGTCAAGCAGATCAGTTTCCAGGAAACCGACAGCCCGATACGGGCACATGAGATTTGATTATAGTGGTGAAGGCTTCGTGCAGGACCATCCACACTTTTTGAAGGGACGAATACAGAGAACTGGTGCACCGAGTGCCACAAGGTTCCCAAACGACCCTCCGCAGGTTTTGAATTCAGAGTTGTCCTTCTCCTAGACCAGTTGCCATCCAAGGCTATAGAACACAGTCTTCCCTTCTATTTTACCCATAGCTGGTGGGAGAGGAAGAGGATATATATATATATATATATATATATATATATATATATATATATGTTGCAGGCCCGGTAGGGTGCAGTGCTGGTTTATTACTAAGTGGCCTTGTGCCAGACACCACACTAAACTACCGAGTCTACAAGCAAAGTAAAAAGATAAAAATGTGTGAATGAACTACGAAGAAATGTGGTTAATCCACACGTGCATAAAATAAAATATATTAAGATAGCCGACACAGAATGACAGAAAAAGACTGGATTCCAACAAGAGTAATTTTTATTAAATGCAGGAAAAAACAAGTAAATTATCCCGTAGTAGGGATCAATGAAAATGTTCCGCGCCAAATATAAAAAACAAGATGGCTAAAGGCGGGAAGGTTCTTGAAGAAGAAGAAGGTTCCAGATAAGTCAACGTACATGTTAATATACATACAAGGAAAAAAAAAATTACTCACTGCGAGTTTTTTGCTAATGTGAGTGAAATGTTGTGTATATATTTTTTTTTCTTTTTTTTGTACTGGTTCAAAACAGATTTATGACGAGACCCAAAGTGGACGACGAATTAATATTCTGGATGTTTTGCATCGTCTCGGAGAAGGACTTTGAATGACGAGCCAAAAGGGACGAAGAATTAATATTTTGGATGTTTTGCATCATCTCGGAGAAGGACTTTGAATGACGAGTCAAAAGGGACGAGGAATTAATTATCTGGTATTTGCATTGTAAGATATCCCTCGTCTGCCAACTTTGCATATTGACATGGCTAAAAATGAGTCTGCTTAGGTCCGAGTCTGGATCACCACTGACTTTTTTGAAACAACAGTTTGTCGTTGACGTCACAAATTTTTCGCGGGAAGATTTCAAAAATCTAATTTGCATAGCAGGTCGTTTGACTGCCGACCAAAACAGTTACTACTGTATTAGACCGAAAGAGGGAGAAAGGGGGTGTTAAACGCGCGCTCGCCCGCGAGTGTGAAAGAAAGGAAGGAAACTCGCGCGCGCGTAAAATGTCGTAGATGGAATAATACATTATTCCACAGCCCCCCTGGATCAAATGTCGCAGACATTTGACTAATAATAGTAGAATGTTTCAAATTTCTTTGGAAAGGTGACTTTTCGACCAGAGCTGGTATACTTAGGCTTGTCGAGAGAAACAGGTGTCTTAAAATTTCCCCTGAACTTGCGGAGTTGATTGGGAAGTAGTATGGGACGACGGTTTCTATATAAAGCAGGTTTCAACCGATCTATTGAAACGTTGTCGGTGTGAATACCTTTTGTATTTGGAAATATTTGTCCGCGCGTTTAAGAACGCGGTATGGGCCTGTGTAGGCCGGCGTAAGAGGCCGCTTAACAGAGTCGTTACGTACAAATACAAACTCGCAGTCCTTGAACTGGTGCGGTAAATAGATATCACTCGGGCAGTGCCGCGGTGGTGTATAGCATAAGTTTGCCATTTTAAGGCGTAAGTCCTGAATAAAGAGGAAGAAACTGGTGGTGTGGTCACAGCTGGTGAAAAATATTGGCCAGGTAAAGATAACGAAGTACCAAATACAAGCTCTGCAGGGGAGCATTTCAAGTCATCTTAAGAATATTTCTTAACGATAGAAGGATGAGGGGTAATTCATCGACCCAATTATTATTCTCATGCTTCGTTGATAGCGAAGCCTTAAAGGGTGCGATGGAATCGTTCCACCAGCCCATTAGCACAGGGGTGATACGCTGTAGTACGTATATGCTTTGCACCAAGGAGTTCAGTGAATTCCCTGAAAAGACACGACTGGAACTGTGCTCCTCTATCTGTAGTAACCACTTTAGGAGTTCCAAAATCGAAACCAATCGCGTAAAATAGCTTTTTGCGACAGTCACAGCAGTGGTATCTTTGACCGGGATGGCAGTAGGCCCTTGGGAAAAACGATCCACTATAGTTAGAAGGTAGGAATAACCATGGCAGGTTGGTAGGGGCCCAACTAAATCCAGGTGTATATTAGTAAAACGAGCATCAGGCTCGCTGAAAGTGCCCACAGGAGATTTTTGTGTCTATGCACCTTACACTTCTGACATTGTAAACATGTATTGACCCATTCGCGAATGTGAACGTTCATATTCGGCCAAACGAAACGGTCCGAAATTAATTTAACTGTGGCTCTTTTGCTAGGGGTGTGAGAGTCCGTGTAGGTGGTCAAAAACCTGTCTACGAAGAGACGGAGGAACATAAGGTCTTGGGGATTTGGATCTAACATCACAGTATAGGACCTTGTTACTAAAAGGAGCTGGACATTTCTGAAGTTCCAAAGAAGTGTCGGATAACACATGCTTCAGAGTTATGTCCGCTTTCTGTTCGTCGGCGATCAAATCTTGACTGAGTGCATCAGTATGCACGACGAACATCTCAGTACGAGATAGGGTATCGGCAACAGTGTTATCCGAACCCTTAATGTACCTAATATCAGTAGTAAATTGGGATATATAGTCCAGATATCTGATTTCCCTCGAAGTGTATTTGTCCGAATTGGTGGACATAATGGACGTTAAAGGTTTGTGGTCCGTAAAGATAACGAAGGACCTACCTTCGAGAAGGTGTCTGAAATGCTTAATAGCACGAAAAATAGCCAACAGTTCACGAGAAAAGGTACTGTAGCGTGACTGGGCAGGAGAAAGTTTAGCGGAAAAGAACGCTATGGGTTTACGTTGAGAAGGACTGACTTGTTCAATGACCGCGCCTATTGCTGTTTCGCTAGCGTCAGTGGTCAGGTAGATATCTGATTGAGGATCGTCCTCTAAGAAACTGAGCTTAGAAAAATCGCCTAGAGCGGTTTTAGCTGCTCGAAAGACGTCCAAGGCTTCATTCTCAAGTATAATAGTCTTATTCTTCTTCTGTAATAAGTTGGTAAGGGGAGTCAGAATGTTAGAACAGTTCGGAATGAATCTCCGATAGAAGTTGATCATCCCTATAAAGCGTCTCAACTGTTTGATGGAAACAGGGACGGGAAACTCAGTGATAGCTTTAATCTTTTCAGTTATAGGGGCAATTCCATTTGCATCGACATGATGTCCTAAAATTTCTATATGGTCTGATCCGAAAACACATTTGTCCAGGTTTAGGCGGAATCCGTAATGAGACAAACGTTGAAGAACTTCGTGTAGGTGTTGCTTATGCGAGGCAGCGTCCTCACTAGCTATCAGAATGTCGTCAATGTAATCGAAAACGAAGGGGAGTCCACGCAGAACTTCGTCCATAAGACGTTGAAAGGTCTGTGCTGCGTTGCAAAGGCCGAAAGGCATTTTTAAAAATTCAAATAAACCAAATGGTGTAGTAACAGCAGTTTTGGGGACATCAGCAGCAGCTACTGGCACCTGATAATATGCTTTTGCAAGATCTATTTTAGTAAAAATCTTTGCGCCTTGTAAACCAGAAGTGAAATCGTGGAGGTGGGGGATTGGATAACGATCCCGGACGGTGATGGAATTCAATCTTCTATAATCCACACAAATTCTAGTCTTCCTTTCCATGGTTTAGGTACCAAATGAAGAGGGGAAGCGTAGGGACTGTCGGACGGACGAATAACACCCTCTCGTAGCATGTCGTCGAAAGCTTTCTTTGCGAATTTTAATTTGTTAGGTGCTAGACGACGAGGACGGGAAAAACAGGTTGACCAGTGGTCTTAATAAAGTGCTGTGTTTGATGTTTAGTTGAATCAATAGATCCATCAGGACGCAGGAGGTCCTGGTACTGATTCAATAAGTCTAATTACTCTTTATTGTGGCACGTTGCCACGGTGATGCCAGTGGTGGTAAGTTTAGAATAAGTGCCAAGAACACACAGTCTTGTTAAGTTGTCTATTAGGGAATGATTGTTCATTCGAACGGCTAGATCATAGTGCGCCAGGAAATTGGCACCCAATATCGGCATCTGGACGTCAGCAACAGTAAAATTCCAGGTAAAGTCTCGTCGCATTCCTATGTTTAGGGTAAGGGACTTCGTACCGTAAGTATTAATACTGGAACCATTTGCTGCTTGTAAGCGGAGCTGGAAAGGTTGTTGACGTGCTTTATCACGCACGGGTAAAACACTAATGGCAGCGCCGGTGTCAACCAAAAAACGTAAATTATTACGTGTATCCGTCACATAGAAAAGGCGACTAAGCTTCGGTGAAAATGCCTTGCCAGCGAGATTAGTCGCTTTCACTCGCTGGCGGTCTTGTTTTCCGCGACCGCAGTATAGGTACACGGCTTGGTGCAGTAGTGTGCTGCAGACCCAAATCGGCGGTGGTAATAACACATAGAAGTCGTGGCATCCTTGTTTCGACTGGACGAGCGAGGTCGACTTCTGAAGCGCCGGCGGGACGGGAACCGGCTTCGACCATGGCTTTCTATAGCTAACGTTAAATCTCTAACTTGGCGTTGCAAATCCTCCACTGCTTTTTCCAAGGACTTGTCACTAGTTGTCATTCTGGCTATCGAATTTATGCACGTTTATATTTCAGCTTGCTCAGAATTATGTTGGCAAGGTTGCAAAATTATTGCGTGTTCAATTCACGTCTCGGGTCACCAAACTTGTTGCAGGCCCGGTAGGGTGCAGTGCTGGTTTATTACTAAGTGGCCTTGTGCCAGACACCACACTAAACTACCGAGTCTACAAGCAAAGTAAAAAGATAAAATTGTGTGAATGAACTACGAAGAAATGTGGTTAATCCACACGTGCATAAAATAAAATATATTAAGCTAGCCGACACAGAATGACAGAAAAAGACTGGATTCCAACAAGAGTAATTTTTATTAAATGCAGGAAAACAAGTAAATTATCCCGTAGTAGGGATCAATGAAAATGTTCCGCGCCAAATATAAAAAACAAGATGGCTAAAGGCGGGAAGGTTCTTGAAGAAGAAGAAGGTTCCAGATAAGTCAACGTACATGTTAATATACATACAAGGAAAAAAAAAAATTACTCACTGCGAGTTTTTTGCTAATGTGAGTGAAATGTTGTGTATATATTTTTTTTCTTTTTTTTGTACTGGTTCAAAACAGATTTATGACAAGACCCAAAGTGGACGACGAATTAATATTTTGGATGTTTTGCATCGTCTCGGAGAAGGACTTTGAATGACGAGCCAAAAGGGACGACGAATTAATATTTTGGATGTTTTGCATCATCTCGGAGAAGGACTTTGAATGACGAGTCAAAAGGGACGAGGAATTAATTATCTGGTACTTGCATTGTAAGATATCCCTCGTCTGCCAACCTTGCATATTGACATGGCTAAAAATGAGTCTGCTTAGGTCCGAGTCTGGATCACCACTGACTTTTTTGAAACAACAGTTTGTCGTTGACGTCACAAATTTTTCGCGGGAAGATTTCAAAAATCTAATTTGCATAGCAGGTCGTTTGACTGCCGACCAAAACAGTTACTACTGTATTAGACCGAAAGAGGGAGAAAGGGGTGTTAAACGCGCGTGCGCGCCCGCGAGTGTGAAAGAAAGGGAGGAAACTCGCGCGCGCGTAAAATGTCGTAGATGGAATAATACATTATTCCACATATATATATATATATATATATATATATATATATATATATATATATGACTGTATATTATATGTAACGGATTAAATCCGACAATTCAATATATTTTCTGTTTATACGTTCTTTTTAGCGATATCACTTGTTTGAGTAAAATCTCTGTTTTTAATTAAACAGTATTAATTACATTTATCGGCCTGAATATTCGAGAAAATTCGTTGAAGATATGCGTCCTTCGACAGGAATCGAACCTGTATCTTATATGGAAACCGGCTTGCCGTTAACAGATTTAGTTACAGAGGATTTCCAGCTTAAATTACTGCTTATAAAAATATACATTGTTACGTTAGGTTACGTTTCGGAACAAAAATGAATTACCAAGAAAGGTTGAATGTGTGAGGTTTTAAGCAGTAATTTGAGCTTTGTTAAAACCTTAAATCTTCTCTGGCTGAATCGGTAAAGAGCATGACAGGCTTAATGATGTTTTGCTATGGAATACAGGTTCCATTGCTGTCAGGGAACGCATATTTTCAGCGAAATTTCTCGAATATTCAGTCCGCTAAATGTAATTAATACTGTTTAATTAAAAAAAAATGAGAATTTGCTTAAATTGTATTCATAAAATTGCGAATTGATTGAGGTGATTCATGGTTCGCAACTCAGACGGTCAAGTCTGCGTTTTATGTACGAGAGTAAGTCGGAAGCACGGTGCAAACTTTCATTTTGAGAGTTAGGAGAGTCTTGCATTATCAACAGTAGTAGTGACTGCTTAAAAATTCGCGCTTTCTCTCCAAAGTGCTCAACCGAATTAATTTTTCGGGCATACATATATATATATATATATATATATATATATATATATATATATATATATATATATATCAAATATGTAGTGCAGTTTAATTTATATTACAATGAATCATTCATACAAAAAGTAAATTAGTAAAGTTACTGATATAAGATGGCGAAATCCTACGGTAACAACATTTTAAAGATGCATTAACCTACACAATCACTCAAATAATATTATGATACTTGTTTTTTTTTTTTAAATTATAAGCTGCATAAAGTCTTTCTTAAATAGGCAAGTACTTTCGACTGTACATTTAGTCATCTTCAGGCATAGAAATTTTTTTTTTTTTTCTAAAATTCATGTAGCATCCGAGACGAAAAAATATTATGCGAATCGAAATATGTTTTTTTTGAAATGTGTTATTGTTAACGGAAACAAACTTTTGGAGGGTGCAGTCGCAACGCTGAGATGGAATTTTTTTTTTTAAATTTAAGAGAGTGTGTTTTTAACTGATATGGTAGTTTGATATTTTTTTGTTGTAGGTGTTTATCAGTCAATGCGGCATGAAATTAATAGCTCAATAAGTAGAGTAATGTCTCAGTTATTATCCCTAAAATTTGTAAGTCGGATCAGTTCTTTTAAATCAATTATGTTCAATTTATATTACAATGAATCATTCATACAAAAAGCATATTAGTAAAGTATACTTTCTGTATGAATAATTCATTGTAATACATACATACATATATATATATATATATATATATATATATATATACCCTTTTAGGTGAAAATATCGGACCAGATAATTGCAAGTTTCCATAAATAGATAGAAATAGAAATTACCATGTTTGTCTTGCCCAACTGAAAAATATTAGAAGATATGGTATTAAATTCTTTTTTAATTATTTCATCCCAAAACAGGCGATAAAGCCACTAAGACTAAGGCAAGGGTATTACTGTGAAAGAATCCGTGAATAAGAAAAAAATTATTAAGGAGAGGTGGCAATAATAGATAATTAGGGAGCGAGAAAAGTAGAACAACATGAATTGAGAAGACAAAAGATAACGATTGACTTTGCAATTACATTTTTAAAGATCGGAGTCAGATAGGTAAATAGATAAAAACAGACTCCAAAAAATGGATGCAAAAATATTATGTAAAATATATATACATATAAGCATTTGTACAAACGCCACTTGTTTTGAGGAAACAGACGAATATAGACAGATAGAACGAAAGAAAGCAATTGAGAGTGATAGACATATAGAAATATATATATATATATATATATATATATAATTATTTATTTAAAAATTATAACATAAATATGTTATAAAATCACTACAAAAATAGCCATTTTGTTTCAACAGCTCTGGTGTCTTATAATTTTTAAATAAATGATTATATTCGCTCTACTCTGTATTGAGCATTCTTCTAAGAATAGTAATTGTTGGTTTCTGGAATTTTTCCATATACACCAAACCTATACTTGGATATATATATATATATATATATATATATATATATATATATATATATATATAGAGAGAGAGAGAGAGAGAGAGAGAGAGAGAGAAGATGAACAAATCAAAATGGAGAGATAGATACATATATAAGCAGAATGAGATAGATAGATAGATAGATAGATAGATAGATAGATAGATATGAACAAACTGAGATAGATATGAACAAAATACAAGAGATAGATAGACAGATAGACATACTGATAAACAGATTGATAAATAAATATGAAAAGAATGAAATAGAGAAACAGATAGATATGAACAAACTTAGATATATATTCATTGTCGCAAATTTAATACGAAATATTCCAAGGACTTGTTTTGTTGAAGCTGACAAAAATATCATTCGACTTACAAAATCGAATTTCTTGATAATTTTTTTTTTTTTTTTTTTTTTTGTTAGGTCCAACTAAAATGATGATCGTGAATGATTGGAATCTCTTTCTTGGGACTTCTGGAAGTCCACAACTTTGATATCTTTCTCGAGAGGATTTTACGACGCGAATGGCGTCGAAATTATTCCTGTATTTCGTTTTTGTAACTGGGGGAAAAATGTCTTTTCCAATTTCTGCTTCTACAAATTGTTGGAAGAGCGGATAAGAGTTTTATGATGACGGGTTCAGTGGATCAAAACAATTGGTAGATTTTTTTTTTTTTGTTTTTTTTTTTTTATTCTCCTCGGTGATATTATCATCTGTTGATGTTGTTTTTACAGTTTTCGTTATTCGAAAAATGTTTTCTCGAATGTTCCTCTTAGAATTACCATTAATGTCGCAAGGGCTTCCACTAGTCGATCGCTATTTCAATGGCAAATGTTCAGAGCAGCTCCATTCTTTAATTCCACCCTGCCAGATATTTACTACCATTTCAGAAGTAGGCTACATCCACGGAGCCGAATCACTTTCATTCCCTCCGTATTTCAAAAGTAAGTAGAGATGTTCCACACAAACCACTTCTTCTCTCCTAAAATTGCTCATTTGTGAAACAGACTTCTGAATGGACACTTGCCTGAAATCTTTTCTCGTCAAGAGTCAAACATTATTTATGCTACGTATACACATAATCGGACAACCTATGTTTCTTACATATATTACTGGACTATTTAAAATACTAACACCCTTTCCCAAGAACAAAATGTTTATCGCTATTTCCATGGCAAATGTTCAGACGAGCTATAAGCCTTATTTCCCCTAGTTCAGACCATTACTACTAGGACAAGTAATGCAGCGTAAATGAAGTAGAATCTTTCTCACTCCCTTCATATTACATTGGTTAAGTTAATTCCACTCGGATATATTCTCCCTGAGAATTCCTACTTTGTGGAACAAACTCCGATAAGGATTCTTCCCCAGTCGCTCTAAACCAGGTCAAGAGACGATCGTTATCTATCCAACATAATCTACACTCACAACGTCACTCCCTAGCCCTCTATCTTGAGTGACTCTTGGGCCTTGTGTTGTGTGAACATTCATTAAAGAATAACACATATCACATTCATCATAACCATTTTTATCGTAAGACTCTATATTAAATGGCTTTTTAGTCTGTTTGTGTGAACATTAATATTAAAAATAATCATTGCTCTCAGAATTCCCGACAAATGCAATGTTTAATGGCAAGGGTTACAAAATGCGTTGGCTAACCCAGAACAGCAAACCAATAGTAGGAAGATACCTTGAGCGTGGAATTCTGTCAGTGATGTACTGCTTTTTTTTAACACACACACACACAAATATATATATGTGTGTGTGTGTGTGTGTGTGTGTGTGTGTGTGTGTGTGTGTGTGTGTATTTTAATGTATCAGTTAATGTATCAGTAAGAATTTTTGTCGTTAACAATAAAATTTTTAAAAAATCCAGACGACACGCTTTTAACGGACTTTAGATTTCATTGAAAATATACATCCCTACCCACTACCAAAACGTAGCAATAAGTGATACATTGAAATATAGACATAATGAACACCCAGTCACCCCTCGTCTAGTAAAATGTATTCATCTCTAACCTTGGAAACGTGAATTATGATTTTAGCCGTGTCTTTAAAACCCAATAATTTTAAAAGTTACTCCAAAATTCGCTTGAGGATGAAATGGAACTAATGTCTTTAATTTACTTACAAAATTAAATTCGTGGCTTTTAGCTTCCATTTTTGAAACATGGTTAGAACTGTGTAGCGGAAAAAACCATATTTTAGATCAATTAATTTATAATATATATATATATATGTGTGTGTGTGTGTGTGTGTGTGTGTGTGTGTGTGTGTGTGCAGAAAAAATAGGGAAAAACACGTTAGGCAAATAATCCAGAGTTCTTTAGTATTTTTGTTTTTATTTTTAAAAAACAGTGTTCCATACAGAAGTAGAGCTTAGATTATAATTGTTTTTTTTAAATAAATTAAAAATAATTAAACCATGGACGTGAGTTAACGGTTTTTTGCCGACACCAACAGAATTTCACAAAACAAACTGTAGTTCAGTGCGACGCATTTATATATGAAACAGCCCGTTGAAAATAAATAATTAAATAAACAAATAAAATAAACAAAATTATCCAAACACTTAAAAACAAAATCTATCTTTCTCTGTGAATGAAGAGACGATGCGCGTACAAGAAAGACATAATTCGCTTTGAAATAGACACCCCACCCTACCTCAGCTTGGCCTCTCCCTGAAGGTGACTGATAAGTAGATAATAATGGTCGCCTCAGCTGTTTCCATAGTAACGAATGAACATGCTTATAACGATACGTAAATTTCAAAATTGGTTATCCCTGTTACTTTAATCCAATTTAATTCTAATAATTATATCGATGGTTTCAGCTCTAGTTTTTGAAAGATGAGAACTCTTATGTAGCGAAGGAATCATATTTTTTTTAAATATATATATATATATATGCATAGTATGCCGCACGATCTAGTGTACCACAACAGAGAAGCCAAGAAAATAGCCACCGAACATAAAATTTGTGAGAGGACCCCAAAATTACACAAACAACAAACTAGAACAGTCTACCCCAGTGAGCGAAATAAAGAGTTCAGTTCGACATTCCAACCACCTGAAGAAGGCTGGTGCCTACAACGGCCCAAACTTTATAATAAATATGGCGACAAAGATGAGGACAATAGTCCGAATAATGTAAATACTGTACATAATTCCTCATCTCAGAAATATAGACAGATACTAAAATATACTTTTCTGACACTTTATTTGAAGAAGATTAGTTTATTTAAAGATTAATCAATCTGATTTGAAACACGTATTACTTACTTTTAACTTAAGAATATCACAGAAAAGCATTTTTAACACGGAGTTGCGTGTTTAGTATGAGGTCTTGACAGGTCTATTGACAGCTTGATGTTTGCGAATTTTAACTAATCTTTTCGTTTGTGGGACATATCCATAAAAACGTACTTGACGAATATAACATGAGCCTTTTATATACAATCTTAAAAAATTAGAAAAATATTCTTAGTAATCTAATGTTTTATTGCATTTAAGGTACTTTCGCTTTTAATTTATTATAGGTACCGTTCATATTTTCTGATATGGACGTCTGTATTTAGAAAAGTCATAACGTAAAAAAATTAAAATTCTTTTAAAAATACAGGGGTTGCTGAATTGCAGTAAGTTTTTCCATCTATGATTAGTAAGCGCAGTTTTTCTTTAATAACAATATCATCTAAATGGTACAAAATAATACAGAATTTTAAGGGTTCATTTGCAGTGTAACATCCGCGTACAGTTCGCATTAAAAATTTCCCGAATACTTACATTTGTGTGTAATTTTACAGACTCCATTCGAATCTGGTTTGATAAATTTGATAAAATTTACCGTTTTGGAGTTATCGACAGTGAAAGTTCGGATTCATTCGCGTCGCGGGAAGCCATTACTGGCGTTGTTTGCATACATTCGCTGCAGAATAGCTACCAGTGTACCTATTTTGATGGTTAAAACCCCATATGACTTAAACTTTCATCTTAAACACTTTAGAAACATATCTGGACCTTTTATAAACATTTTTGGAAAATATTATGGGGGAGGGCATACACTTAGCGAAAATTTTCTTTCATACGTACAAGAACCGTTTTTAATTACGTATAGATCGACACAACCATTGAAAATACTGTATAAAATATATACAACACGACATAAACTATAAATTTTAAAACAGTTTCTAAAAACAGAACTGTGATGATGCCCCCAGACTTAGCATAAACCACTTTTAAGACCCCAGGCACTGCCCCTAACAAGGAACAAAGCCCAAGTACCGATGTTTTTTCATTTGTTTTTTGCCCTAAAGATGTAGAATTCTGCCAATTTTTACCATGAAAATGGACTGTTATATGTTTTAAGTCACTTAAATAACAGGAAATAATACAAGAATTTTGAAATATGTTCTATCAAAAAAAGACGCGAATCGAGACAGTTCTCAGCGAATAATGTGTATATAGGTTCTTCAGAAAAACACACGAATATTCGGGGTTTCCGCGAAGAACAAGTACATATGTTCTAAAGAAAAATCCGCGGATGTGGGAAGCCGCGAATGCTGAAACGCGAATAGGCGGGAGCTCACTCTCTCTATATATATTTAAACAATAACTTGATACTATCATACTTTATTAAAACCTTAAGTAACAGCAATGAAAGGATCTTAATGCTAAAATAATATTCAATTATAATAATATTTTAATTATTTAAGATTAAGATGTATATATATATATATATATATATATGTGTGTGTGTGTGTGTGTGTGTGTGTGTGTGTATATACAGGGTGTCCATAAAGTTCGTGTAGATTTTAAAAAATTTATAACTTTATTTGTATTTTCGATAGAAATAAAAAGGATTAGAAAGAAGTAAATCTATTTTTTTAAAGGTTTTATTGAAATTTTATTTAAGTTTCTTCCATCGTTAGCAATACAAAGAGTAATACGCTGGAAAAAAAAATATTTTTTTTTAAAGTTGGATATTTTATGGTAAAAAAACGAGAGATATATTGTTGACTTTCGAATCCAAATACAAATTTAAATCATTTTATTTTTTTTTATTTTTTTTTATTTTTTCGACTTTCGAAGTTTGATCCGTATGAATTATTGATAGTTAATTCTATATTTTAAATAGACAAATTTGTACACACACTTTTGAATCATCATCACGACATCGTGATATATGACGGTCAAAATCTCCACACCTGAAGATTGCAATAAATACATGAGACTCCGAGATGTGTAATATTTTTATATTCACTAATATATATATATATATATACAGCTATATATAAAAATATGAAGACAATAAACAAAATCTAAAAATTCTTGAAGCTATATATATAAAACAGTTGAAACCTAACCTGAATAAAATAAACTACGAAATCTCCACAAATATTCTTAAATGCCTATAATTTATAACTGAAGCTATTGGTTTATACCAAGGGGTCCCATACTTAATAATTATCGTTATAATTACACATTTTTGACGGACCGCACCAAGCATATGTAAAATTAACGAAGTGAGGAAGTGAGGTGGGAGAGAAGATATGAGTGAGTTAGATGTACCATTTTCAATTCCTTATCCTTAACCCCACTCTGTGTAGGCTAGACGCCGCTTAACTTAACGTATGTTATCTCTAGATATAGATGGGTAAAGGGTGAGGGAGAAGACCGACTTAAAGGGGGAAGATACAGTTAAGAATAAAATAATAAATCATGTCCATGAGCGCAGGTTTCATTCAAATTCTTAGACGCTGTTATTTCGCATTAGTTTAAAGGGTATCTTTGGGGGTTAAAGTTTGATATAAATCTAAATGTCTAAAAAATCTACGATGAATTTAATTTGATGTTTGTTGGAGTTTTGGGTATCTTCTATGAAATAGTCGATTGGTTATTAAAGGGTAATATATTTCAGTTTAAATTAAATTATCAATTTAAAATTTACCTCCGTATTATTTATTTAAACTCACTTCCAATTGGAGAATATTAGAGGAGAGAATTGGATAAAAGAATACTAACAGAAAATTAGGTCCTTCTTTTACAATATTCTATATATCCGTACACATACTTTTTTCTTGTTGATTATTCTTTAATAAGAATGTTTATTACCCTTTAATAATCATTATTGATGATAAAATGATTTAAATTGGAATAACCTTTGATAATTAGGTATCTAAAAACAGTCGCGTATTTAATTTATGAACAAAAATCAAACGAATAGATGTCAACTTAACAATCTATAAGAAAAAAGCTTAGAAAAATAAAAAAGGTTACTGTATATAAAATGGATTATTCTTTCAATATACTTTCTATGAATTTTTTCCAATCGACTATTTCATAGAAGATACCCCAAACTCCAACAAACTTCAAATCAAATTCTTCGTAGATCTTTTAGACAGTTAGATTTATATCAAACTTTAACCTCCAAATATACCCTTTAAACTAATGCGAAATAACAGCGTCTAAGAATTTGAATGAAACCTGCGCTCATGGACATGATTTATTATTTTATTATTTTATTGTTTGCTGTATCTACTCCCTTTTAAGTTGGTCTTCTCCCTCACCCTTTACCCATCTATATCTAGAGATAACATACGTTAAGTTAAGCGGCGTCTAGCCTACACAGAGTGGGGTTAAGGATAAGGAATTGAAAATGGTACATCTAACTCACTCATATCTTCTCTCCCACCTCACTTCCTCACTTCGTTAATTTTACATATGCTTGGTGCGGTCCGTCAAAAATGTGTAAGTTTCTTTTCATTTTTGATTTCAACTTTTGGAAGTAAAGGTCTGATGATCCACAGCCCATTAAAAGGGTTGTGGTGAAATAAGTTATTACATCGAACCTTAAAGTGGTCTGTTTTTATTCAAACATATTTGCTCTGAATTTACATTGAGATCTCTGGATATCATCCTCCTTGGGTCTACCCATACGGATTACCTAGTTTTGCATAAACTATATATATATATATATATATATATATATATATATATATATATATATATATATATATATATATATATATATTATAGTAAAATAAGAAAGAACAGTAAGATATATAATCCGGCGTTCTTATTAATATTTTTATTTTGTATATTTGCAAAACAGTGCTCAATGTAAATCTACAGAGCATAAATTTTATAAATTAACTGATTTAAAAAATATGGTTATATATATATATATATATATATATATATATATATATATATATATATATATATATATATATATATATATAGTATAATCCAACAACACTGTATCACAGCTCTTCAGTGTGGCTAGACGTCCGATTGCTTCAAACTGATCGATTTGACATCAGTTAGAGATCCTCTCCTTGGGCGTTCATCGCACGGCAGAGAGAAAGGGAAATTTTAACGTTTTTTCTATATGAAATACATGAGATATTATAACAGGCATTTAATAGGTGACAGGTGAAGATAGAATTGTCCTATTCCATATTATATGTACCAAACAGAATACAACGTTCCGGCCGTTGTACGCTCCGGCCTTCTTCAGGTGGTTGGAATGTCGAACTAAACCCTTTATTTCGCTCACTGGGGTAGACAGTTCTAGTTCCACGTGCCGTGTTTAATGGATGTTAGTTATCTCATGTTAATTCCCCTCTCCAAGTTCTCCACATCCTTAACCGGGTATTGAACTCATATTCTTTGGCTCCTGTCACTGTATCTAACCAACGCCATTATCCACTGTGGCATGTGTCCTTTGTAACAAATATGGCGACAAAGATGAGGACAATAGTCCGTATAATGTAAATAGTATACATAATACCTCATCTCAGAAATATCGATAGATACTAAAAGGCCGAAACGTTGCAATAAATATGGCGACAAAGATGAGGACAATAGTCCGAATAATGTAAATAGTGTACATAATACCTCATCTCAGAAATATAGACAGATACTGAAAGGCGGAAACGTTTTAATAAATATGGCGATAAAGATGAGGACAATAGTCCGAATAATGTAAATAGTGTACATAATACCTCATCTCAGAAATATATACAGATACTGAAATGCCGAAACGTTGCAATAAATATGGCGACAAAGATGAGGACAATAGTCCGAATAATGTAAATAGTGTACATAATACCTCATCTCAGAAATATAGACAGATACTGAAAGGCGGAAACGTTTTAATAAATATGGCGATAAAGATGAGGACACCTTAAAGCAGGCAAAAAGGCAAAAACTGCAAAAACCTAGGATGAATGCTCGGCTTACTGTGTAAAAAGAAAAATACTTCCATTTATGGTAAATGCATTCATTCTACTTAACGAAACCTATTTGTTAGCGCACTTTTGAATGTTGATATTTTGACATGCATAAACAAATATTTTTTACACTTTTCCTAATTTTTCTTTGTGTAAATATCATTTGCGAGTTCTATGACGTCTCACAATTTAACGAGCAGAGCAATTAACTTTCAATATGGCGAACAACTTAATTTGTTTATTAAATAAACGTTATTGTTGTTTCATACTCTTTCGTCCCATACGTTTTCCTTTCCCTGTCTTTCTAAGTTAATTAACTGAAAACAATATAATATCTATTTGTGGTAACTCCATGTTTGCATTCATTTCATTACTTAGCCTCACTTCAGAAAAGTATTTTAAGGTTAGCAACTTTTAAAATGCATTTTGTTCTTCGTAGATGAAAGTCATCATCATCGTAATGATCATGATAAAATAATCTTGTTTCCTTAAATATAAATATAGATCAATGACCAAACGGCCAGTATTAGTTGCATTAGTCTTTTCTTCACTCACTGACCATCTTCCTTTTCCTTATGGGCCGTGTTCTCTCAGGACGTAAGCGATCATGGCTCTCCACATCTTTCTTTCCTCTGTAGCTCTTATTAAATTTTGCCTTTCTTTTATTTCTCTTAAACTGTTCCGCCCTCTATTTACTCAAATTCACTAAATATGTCATGCATTGTTTTCCTCTGTCACTCTTGCCTTCTATCTGTTTTGTGAGTATCAGATTTTCCAAACCGTCTTTCCTCATTATGTGCCCTATAAACCTCAACTGCCTCTTTCTGATGTTAAGTATCAGTTACCTTTTTGTTTCCATTTTCTTTAAATTTTCACCATTGCTCACACATTCGGCCCGTGCTTTCATCGGTATCTGTAAAACGATATTTTCTGACATAAAAGTGTAATAATTGTTCTTCTCATCTCATGATGATATTAGCCATTTTATTATGCGGAAACATTATGGGTTCCCTGGCTGTGCGCCTAGTGCTAGAATTGGTCGATATTTATAATAGCTTTTTATTAAAAGAATCTTTTCAAAACATAGGTATACAGATAAATATGAACAGACAGAAATAGTTAAAAAGATAGATATGTACAGAAATAGATGAATACATAAATAAATAAGTAGATAGATAGATAGATAGATAGATAGATAGATAGATAGAAATGAACAGACATATATAGATATGGACACACATAGATAGATAGATAGATAGATAGATAGATAGATAGATAGATAGATAGATAGATAGACATGAAAAGAAATAGATCGATAGAAGATATGAATAGATAGATAGATAGATAGTTATGAACAGAAATAGATATGAACACACATAGATAGATAGATAGATAGATAGATAGATAGATAGATAGATAGATAGATATGAACAGAAATAGATAGATATGAACACACATAGATAGATAGATAGATAGATAGATAGATAGATAGATAGATAGATAGACAGATGGATCGATAGATATGAAAAGAAATAGATCGATAGAAAGATATAAACAGATAGATAGATAAATAGATAGATACATACATACATACATAGATACGGATATATATAGACGTAAAGCTGAAATATTAATATCATTACTTTAATTTCTTTAGAATCAATAAAACATTTCAGCTACAAAGCAGACAGGTATCGCTTAATTGATAGGTTAACTGACTGACTGACACAATCGCAATACGAATATCAGCTTATCAGTTTAGTAGAGAAAGCATCTTTAATTTTTTTTGATTGAGCAACTGAAACAACTTCTGTCTTATGTGCCTTCAATTATTTTGAAATTTCCGATAAAATATATATTTATTATCTTGGTGTGAAAGCGGCCCTTTCATAATATATTCTATTCATATAATTCATAGTATTACATTTGGTCCACACATATTCTTCCAATGCGAAAAAAACAAAACGACTCTGCTTATATTCCGAATCCGTATTCATAATTGTTTAAATCAAAGGTTACCAACCTTTTTGGTACAATCGTCTACTTTCGCATGGAAAAATTTCCCGCCGCCCACCTGTATAGTAATTACTCAAAAGCATGCCGTACTTGTTTAGTAAAAGTTTTTCACTGGTTCGTACACTGGTTTTATAATGTAGTAAGAGGTCAAGGGAGTGGGGGTTACAAATAACGTTGACTTTCTCCACCGCCTCAACCCTCCACCCAAAGAGTGTGAGTTCAATACCCGGTTAAGGTAGTGGAGAACTTGGAGAGGGGAATTAACAGAAGAGAACTGATAACTGACATCCATTAAACATAGCACGTGGAACTAGAACAGTCTATCCCAGTGAGCGAAATAAAGGGTTCAGTTCGACATTCCGACCACCTGAAGAAGGCCGGAGCGTACAAGGGGCGAAACGTTGTAATTAATATGGCGGCTAAGATGAGGACAATAGTCAGAATAATGTAAATAGTGTACATAATACCTCATCACAGAAATATAGACAGACACGATGCCTGATGATTTGCATTTTCATTTCTATATATTCCCAAAGGATTTGTGTCACATCCGTGATAAGCAAAGTGGGAGATTCGATCTGAGATAGAATCAAATAATCGATCCCGGTTAAAATGAGACAAGATGGCTGATTATAGCTGATGCCTTGAACGAGCGTTTGTTTCAGAGACTGAACATGTAAGGAATTAAAGTACCTATTTTTTTATCTATCAGTTTGTTTTTCCATCAATATCTATATTTTCATTGAATATAAATTAACCTGTCTCCCTTTAACAACTACACCAACCGCAGTCGAGATCACAATGTTCATATGAATTCTATAATCCTTTCCAGTGCCGTTTAGTATGTACTTCACCAGGGCTACACACGGTTTTGGTTTCATTGCTCTCCCTGTCTTCTTTACTAACTATAGCTGAAGAACACAGTCGGTGCTGTTATTTAACACAGAGACGATGGTAGAAGAAATGGGTTCATGACTTTCCGTAGGATAATTGTGCGAATTCGAACCCATCTTGCCTATTTCTCGTATTAAGCCGTTGGCCTTTACACTATCTGCGCACGCCAAGTAGCGCAGGTTGACTTGTCACTTTTTTTTAGAAAATCAATTCTGCTTTGGTGGCAAAAACTGCGGCTTGGTGAGATAAGAACTTATACCAAAAATTAGATTCCTAACTTGAGAATTTAACTGACCATTTAGCTTCAAAGATCGCCTACAAAAATATACAGAAGTACCTCATTTCCGCCGGATTTTGCTGACAAACTGACTTCAAAATTTCTCTATTTCAATGCTAATTAGAGATAAAATTGACTTTTCTTATTAGATACATTGAATGGAAAATATATTCAAACCAGAATTCTAAGTATGAATCACGAATAGCGAAATATGCCACTTTTACTGTATTTAATAAACAAAATTGATTCATACTTAATTGATTCATAGTCAAAATTGTAAAATATTACAAAAAAGGCTAAACTCTTGCACTTCTTTGATCATAATTAAATTAACAAATATATAGATAAAACTGGGCACAAATTCTAAGAACAAATGTTTTAAATTTGAACTGATTATTGAACATCGCGCTAAAATCTACTGCATTATATAAAATGATGTCATAATAGAGCTAAATTGTCCGGTGTAGTTTCCCTTCGAAGTAAATGAAGTTCTTATTTGATGCCACAACGATTTGGTTATAATGTGCTTGTGCCTTGCTTCCTGTCTATACACAATTTGTGAAGCTTCGGTCGTTAATTTGACAGCTCTTTTCACGCCTTGTGAAGGTGCAAGTAAATTTGGAAATGCCAATATTGTTCCATTCATTGAAGATTCTAAGAGTTCATTGTTTGAAAAACTTTCTGCACGCGCAGGTTCACAGACCCCACTTTGTGAGAGGTCAATCAAAGTTGATAAATGTGTAACTTCAAAATTTATGGCAGTCTTTTCTTTGGTGGTTCGCCACTTATGAAACAAAAATGTTTTTATTAGAAAATTTTTACTTATATTTGGTTAGATGTTTGATGTAATTTAAATGAAACTTAAAATTATTTTTGTAAATTGACACAATTAATTAAGTATGAATAAATGTTTACTTACCTAATGGACAAAATCTATTTTATGGACTCTTCCCTCACGCCATGGCCTCCAATTCATTGAACTTCAACAATGACAACAATTTTTTCCTGAAGCAAAGCAAAAGCATTGTACTGTAAATTTTTTAATGCAACATTTTGGATTTCGGTTGACTGTTGCTTTACTCTCTGGATCATATTGAAGATATAAAGTATTTGGTTAAAGAATGTATTGTCTCTTTTGGTCTTAAACGCATCCACTTCAATTATAAATTTGATAATGGCGTATAATTTATCTGAGAGCTCTGGTGGATAGTCAACTCTGGTCCACAAGCACATTAACCTTAAATTAAATTTAGCCATCTTGATTGACCTTACAGAGAGCAAATGTAGGGTTCTCTTTCCTTCGAGAAATGTCTACAGCTAGTCACTACTTAGATCATCCATTGCCTCTGCAGTAAGATAAAATTATCCAGATGGCTACTAATAATAGGAAATTCTACCTGGGGTAAATTCTGGTAATTTCTTTCACAAAATGTCCCTAGAGAACCAGTGAAAGTAGTAGAGCTTCTTGAAGTTCCAGAAATTAATTTAAAGGTGGCTCTAAATGGCAGTTCATTTTGGTGAAGTGAACAGCCAATGGTGTGTAATTACCTTTCTCACCTGAACTGTAACCAGCCCTGCTTCACAACCAGTATTTGTACTGGTTTTGTCCACCAGATCTGCCTTAGCAATATTTATACTATTGTACACTTGTAGAACAGCAGTAACATCCTCTGCTAGAATAACATTAGTTGCACTAATTTTGGGTGTCACTCTGTGAGTGAGCTATTTACCTTCAGTGCACATCTCTCTGGTGATTGTTAAATATCGCTCTTCTCTCTTTCTTTTCTAAATCTTTTTTCACCTTTTTCCCCCTGTAACAGCTTTGGAGTGCAGAGTGTCCTTATCAACTCTGCAATCAACTCCGATGCAAACAAGATTTTCATAGTCCTCGACAGGTTGATAATGACTGATTCCTCTCACTCTTGCCTTTTCCCTATTTTTGATTTATTTATAATATCTATTAAATTAATTTTTAGATGAAGAAGGCCCATATACTGTGGGTCTAATAGAAAGGCATTAGCAAGGCAAGCCCCAAGGTTAGAAGATATATCACATCTAATGAGTTCCATGCAAAAGCAATTGACATTTAAAAGACATTAAGGTCCCTTCAACTGTCTCCCTGGCTCAAAACTGGAAGATGACTGTGAAAAAAAAACAGGGTAAGTATCTATTAACGAGAACAAAGATTCCTCAAAATTTAATAATTTTTCGTCGTATGGTTGTTTTTTGTTTTGTTTTTTTTTTTTGTGGTGGTGGGGACTTACATCCACAGAGCTCGGGATTATTGAATTGCTATCCTCCTCCTTCTGTTGATAGAAGAGATTTATGTCATCCTTCTTATGACACTCTCGATCATTCATATATATATATATATATATGAATGATCGAGAGAAATGTCATATATATATATATATATATAATTTAATTAAATTTAAAGAAAAAAACAGACCTCTTTAAGGTTCCATTAGTTGTAATTTATTTCACCAGAGATTTATTTTTCAACTGGATCTTCAGACTTCATTTTCAAATGTGATAAAATGAATTTAAAATTTACACTTTTAAAGGGCAGTATCAATCTTATATAAGGTGTCATAGAGGGTGGGGAGGGATAGTATGAGAGGCATGGTCAAATTTAGAGAGGGAAGGGAGTGTTTGAAAATTTATTTTTATTTTTATTACAATACTTTTCATTGAGGAGTAGGGTGGCTATTTAATCGATGAAATCACCGGAAATGATATGGGAAAAAAAGAAGAAAAGAAAAAGAGAAAAAGGCAAGAAGACAAAAAGTAAAAAAAAGAAAAGTAAAGAGATAAGAAATAAGAAATGGACGTTGGAGGAAAGATATGGGTCGTATAGTTTGAGATAAACACAGATCTTAACGTTTGATAGTAATTTAAATGTTTTAAAATTCCACAAATAAACTATATATATATATATATATTTGGTTGGATAGATGTGAGTTTGTGACCCTGGGTTTCACGCTTTAGCGATCGTCAGACAAACTGATTAATGTTTTAAAAAATTGGGGTTTATGTAGATTGCGTGTATTGGTGTTATTGTGGAAGTGGTGGGGGAAACTTCGTCGTTTTGTCATTCATCGTACTAACGCAAACATCGATGTATGCAGACACATATACACACTTGGTCGTCCGTCGGGACTCATACATATATAAACATATGTGGGCAGTTTCGGCTATGACACATGTATGCGGGTAGTGCATAGTGTTGTTGTTTGTACTTACCTTGGCCATGTATATAGTGTTCCTAAGTTGGCAATTTCCCTGGAGTGGACATGTTGTTCTGTTTCTGCAGTTGCATATTGGATCCTTGGTTACATTTTTGTAGGTTGCCATTTTTTTGTTGTGGCTTTTAATTATTTCTGTTATGTTTTTTGTA